AGATGGCCATTAACCCCTTGTGTATAAAGGTCTCTCTGTGCTGAATAAAATCCTCTGGCGTTAATCAATACTCAAATAAAATGTTAAAAGTGGCGTCCCCGCAGTGAAGAGGTTCATGGAGATAGTCTATTAACCCCTCAGAGAGTAACCTGTACACAAGTGATATACAGAGAATAACAACACTGTAAGAGTGTCTGGTGTTAACATTTAAAAAGAAACTGAAATATTAATGATGAAAGTCTTGTAACAGAGTTGAAGATGATTACATTAATATACTGTAGTGACTTATAACACCTACATACAGGTCCCCAGTTAATTGACAACACAGTGCAGGTGTGTCCATAAATTATTTGACCCATTTAGAAACTTCATAAGAACAAAAGTATTATAGATTGGTTATATTACACTTGAAAACTAACTCTTAAACTTTTTAATAACCTGAAAAGTATTACAGACAGAACACAGTGCACACGTGGAGTCGAAGGCAGGAAAAATACTTATGAGTTGTTCGTCAAGTATAATAAAACCAATGTGTCGTACCCATCATGTTTTAGAGGCTAATAAGTTTTATAATCGGTCAAATAATTTATGGACATCCTGTACTGTACATTTATTAATAACACATCTTACAACTTAAACTGTGAAATTGTTAAAAAGTTCCTGTGAAACATCTGTACACACTAAAATTATGTGTTATATACAAGAACTTGTTGTGTATAGTGACTGTCCCATATAATGTAGTCACACTATACAGTGCTCTTCTCTTTCTCAGTTTTATCGTCTCCTACAGCGGGACTTTGATGATACTGTATCTAACATTCAGCAAAATGAGTCTTTTAATTATTACTAATGTCAAGAATTCTCAAGTCTGCACATTACATATGAAAAAAGCAGCAAGTGACCACACAAGTGTTTTTCTCAGATCTATTCCCCAAAGGCATCAACTGACCCCCGGCCAGAGATTGAAGATACTTGAAGCAAGATGATGTGGACTGATGGAGGCAGGAAGTACAGTACCACAGTGTATAACTCGGGAAAAACAAGTACAGTACTGTATGGGCAGTCTCTGAGTTATGAACGGGTTATGTTCCTGGACCCTGTTTGTAAGTTGATCTGTTCATAAGTCGTAACAGTGTTTATACCATAGGTCAGGTTAGGTTAAAACACAACCCTGCCCTTAAAAAACAACAATATCCCATACATAACAAACAATGTAGATACCTGCAAATAAAGTGATATTAAACAGATTAAGTTACAGTTACAAATATACTGGGTCTCATTAGTAAGTGCAGCTGTTGGTACGTCAGGTGTTCATAACTCGGGGATCGCCTGACGCTGGCGGAGTCACTTTTTTCGTTGACGCGTACAACACTGGCTGTACTATAGTATGGTGCCATTATGGTATATTAACAATGGCTGTACTGTAGTATGGTGCCATTATTGTTTATCTAAGCACGCACGTGCACACACACACACACACACACGGGTCAAGACGGGTCAGACGCACCTGGCGCTGCTCAGCAGCCACGTCAACTGAACCCTCCTCCCCACCGGAATATCAACAAGTTCTCGCCAGAAGTTACTATTTCATTTGGGAAAGGAATGGAACCAGTGTTGAATAGTGGTGAACAGTGCTTAAGTCAGTGAAAAACAACTCGGCAGTTGAGTCTGAGCCAAGCTAACCTTCACACAGTGAGGTCCCAGGTACCCAGTGATAATTCCCCTGAGACTCCACGATAGGGAGGGCTGGGACCACACCTCACCCACTTGAGTGAGTGAAGTCATGTGATTTCTCCACCAAATGATGCCCCTCATAACACCATCTGTGAGGGAATTACTATACCACATCAGGCCCCTCATACACCATCTGTGAGGGAATTACTAACATCAGGCCCCTCATAACACCATCCGTGAGGGAATTACTACACCACGTCAAGCCCCTCATAACACCACCTGTGAGGGAGTTACTACACTATGTGCCTGCTGTTCAACACCTCAGCTCACATGATCTACGTGTGTAAACATTAATCTGTATGTTCACTGTATATGTTCCTTCGCCTTTCTCTAATGAAGGCTTTTGTTAAACCACCAATGTATGTAATAAGTCATTTATGTCCAATGTATATTTTCAGCCTTCGGGCTGCAAACTTTTTCAATAAACCATTTATTATTATTATTATTATTACACACACACACACACACACACACACACACACACACATGATAAATAAAGTCTTCTTATTTATCTATAAATGTTAAAACTCTTAATACAAAGAAACCTATTGTTATTACAGTATCTTTTGTTCAGTTCTATTAATAAAGTTAAGAGTTTTGTCTACACTGACCAACTCTACACCGAATGGGTTAAAATTGTCAGTTTATTCAGATGATGTTATAATTATCCAGTAGTTGGTTGTTACTACAGATATACTCCAGCTGAACTGACTATAATACAGTACTTCCTAACTAGAGTTAGGTTAGGTTAGTGCTCTAGGAACTCATCTACCTCTCTAAACGGGGTATTGCTCTTATCCCAAGACTAAATCAGGGACGGATCCAGGAATATAAAAAGGAGTGGGGGTCCAAGAAGTTGTGGGTGGGAGAACATGGCGAGCGCAGCGAGCCCATCCATCTTGGGGGTTGAGGGGGGGGGGGACTGTAAGCCCCTCAGATTTATTTATATATTTTTTAAATCTAACCAATATCATGGGCATTTTGAGGCAATTTTGAAGCCATATCCACTTGATTAGGAAATATTCTGAGGTAAATAATAATTACTTTTTACTATACAAAAATGCCTGAGTACCAGGGCCAGATTCAGGGGTGGGCAAAGTGGGCAGCTGCCCAGGGGCCTCCACATGTTACAATATTTTATTTGTTTGTTTATTCATTTGGATTATTTTTATTTTCATTCTTTAAAATTCATGTTTATCTATTCCATCACGTAAAACTATGAACCGTGCTGGTCATTCATTAAAACTGCAGCTGAATGTTGTCAAGAAGCTATCTCATTTTTTTATTTTCTTGAGGCAATTTATGTGTTCTTCACAGCTTCTACACAACGTTATGCAATTCTTAGTGATTTATTGAAAACTGAAGCGTCTAGCCCGGTATCTGTGCCAAAGAGGATTTCCACAACAAGATGGTCCTGTCGGGCAGTTGCAGTGAAAGCAGTTGTCCAAGGTTATCTCCCAATCCGTGAAGCACTTGCTAAAATAGCTAGAGATGAAAATGAGACGAGCAAAACATGTTATGAAGCCAATGGTCTTCATGATAAGATGTGCAAGTTAGAGACTGCTATTTATGCTGTGTTTTGGCATGACATTCTTGGCAGAGTTGATGCAACAAGCCATGGATTGCAAGATCCTAAACTCGATTTGAACACAGCAGTAGCAATGCTGAAGTCCTTGGAATGGTTTGTACGAGAAAAAAGAGATTGCTTCCATGTTTATGAGAAACTGGGGATTATTCACAGACATGCAAGCGTCAACGTAATGTATGACTCAATCCATTGGATTATGGACGATCAGAAGAAGCAGCCCTCTCACAGGCAGAAAAATTTCGGGTTCAGAATTTCCTTCCAGCAATTGATCAGTTCCTGAGTTCACTGGATCAACGGTTAAAGGCCTATGAGGAAACCTGTTCACTTTTCGGGTTCTTGTCTAAACTGGAGTCAATGAATTGTGACGAAATTGAAGCAGCTGCAGCAAAATTGGTTGCCGAGTACAAAAATTATTTGGATCAAACACTCGGAGTTGAACTTGTGCAGTTTACAGCATTCTTCACTCAATTTCTTGAAGACGAAGATGATGAGAAAGGGAGGGCACATTACCTTTACAAGCTGTTGATAGACAAGAAATTTGTAGATACATTTCCAAATGTTGAAATAATGCTACGGATGTACTTGGTGCTCATGGTCACAAATTGTTCTGGAGAACGTTCTTTCAGTCAAATGAAGTTTATTAAAAACAGACTTCGTACTACAATGTGTCTTGATAGGCTCAGCCACCTGGCTTTGATGAGTATCGAATATGACATATCCTCAGAGAGATTGACTTCGAAAAGTTGATCAAAAACTTTGCAGCGGCCAGGTCACGTAAAGTGCCTGGTCTGTAAATAAAGGTAATGTTTATTTTCTATTTTGGAATTGATCAATGTTTGTGTTCAATATATCCATTATCCATGGCAGTTATTTTTTTGTAAAATTCTTGTTTTTCCAACATGTTCAGACTTTTGTTATAATTTTATCAAATTTATTAAATTGTTTATTTGTTTTACTATTGGATGCAAAACTTCAATTTTATTTATAGTTGAGTTAATACTTATTGTGACTCTCTGACCTTGGACTTAAAGAAGCATATACATGCATTATAGGACAGAACCATTTTTTGAGTAGAGGTTTATCTGATTAATGTAGCTATATCAGGGCTGGTCGACTTGAAACCACATGAATGACTCGTCATGTCTCATTTTTGTGTGTGTGTGTGTGTGTGTGTTGGGAATTTGTACACTATCAATAAATATACAGTTAATTAAAAATTTCTCAATATTCTAATTTCCTCAATATAACTGCATATGGCTTCAAAATTCACCAAAGAAGTGTTCAAATTTCAAAATTTTCCCGGGGGGCTTACAGCGCCCCTCGGAACTCCCAGATGTTTAGGCTCGCTTCACTCGCCACCCCACCCTCTTGGGTAGTTATAATGAGGGGGGCCTCCACAAAGAGGCTGCCCATGGGCCTCCACAGGTCTAAATCCGGCACTGCTGAGTACAACACTGCATTAAAGAAAAAGTATTGGAATTCTCTAATTAAAAGAGGGTTCCAGATCCCGAGGACTCCCCTGGATCTACCCCTATAAATATTAATTAAAATATTACGATTAATGTATATACGGCATACCACCAACACTTTAACAGTATACAAACTGTTCACCAAGTAATGAGAGAGAGAGAAACTTGCCTCAAGTGGGAGAGAGAGATAGATACATAAGAGGACTTACCCTGTAGAGGCTCCACTATGTCCATAAAGTCATCCAGGTTGGGCTGTAGCTGGATGAGGCCCGGCTGAATGAAATCCGAGTTACCTGTACCTCTCGCTGTAACACAAAATATATCATTATAGCCAGGAACAACAACACAACATCTTAATATAATCAAGAGCATAATATGTTAATGTCTTGTAAACCTCACATAATAAAATATAGTCAATAGTCTTACAACCAACAACACCTTAAAACCTTGTATACAGGAGTCGACTCTGACCTGAATAAAATCGTCAGGTGTTTACCAAATAGTATCTCAAAAGTAGCGTCCCCATAGTGAAGGGGTCAACAATGTTTTCCCATCAACACAAAACATCTTAACTACCAATGGGAAGAATTTATTCATCATCAAAAAACATCAATGATCATGTTCTCAGAATATCTAGTACATGTAACATATCACCATTTTGTTACCTTCACTGTGGAAACATTGATAAAAACAACACCAATACAAACAGGAAAATGGTTACTTGTACGATGAGACCTCTATATAATGGACCACATGGAGAGGAAAGTTTGTTATATCGAGGGTCAGTTTGAATGTAAAACCTCCATCTAACAAATTATATAAAGATGAAAGTCTGTTATAGCAAGGATGAGTGAAAACCCCATCTAACAGAATATATGGAGGAACAAACAGTTATATGGAGTCTTCACTGTACAGTAGTGTGTTCATTGGCACAAAAATCACTGTCACGGCAACGGACACGAGCGCATGACCCCGAGGGTGTTGGGCCGGTATTAATAATAATCCTTCGGGGAAAAAATATTATATATTTTTTAAAGAACTTACCAATTTCTCTGGGGTTGGGGAAGGCAAAGGGCTGTGGAGGACTAATGAGAGAAGAGAAGAGAACGTCGGTGAAGTCCATAAACTCCGTGAGGTCTCCGTCTTCCAGGGAGACCGGCATCCCCGAGTAACTCCGAGAGAAGTCCATGCCTTCCAGGTCAAAGATAGACTGAAACAGATATTATCTATGAGTGACCATTTCTACAGGTCTTGGTTAATCCTTCGGTGTTTATGACGACACAACCAAGATCCAAACTTATTATAATACTGTCTGTGTAACCTGTCTGTCAGTGCAATTAAGATGCTTATTATATGTCTATTGACCTAAAAATTAAGTGTCGTACCAACTTAATCATGTATAAATATTCCCACCAGCTGGAGGTATATGAACGTCCATAAAAAATACAACATTTTGTGTATGTTTAAGTTCACAGGATCAAAGTTAACATAATGCTATTTTGTAGACCTAGAGATACACTATAAATGTCTTCTATACACACACACATACATCCACTAACCAGTAAAATGCCATTTTTCTAAACTTAAATAAATTTTCAATACTCAACACCATACTCACCTCACACAATGACTCCCTCTCCCCCACACAAACACTCCCTCACCCAGAGTATCTGCTGAACTGTGTATTTTCACTCATTCTCAACATATAATTTACCAATTATGCTAATCTTTAGGTCTGGATTCCATTTTTCTCACAGGTTTGCATCAGTCTTACATCATCTGATTATCTTTACTGACGCCCTTTACAAAATTCAATAACAGTGACCAGATTTTGGACACTCTGAATGACCTCCTCGACACACTACCCCAGAACACACATACACACTATCCTACAACACACACACCCTCCCTCCCCAACACACTACCCTACAACACACACAACCCCCCTCTCCAACACACACACCCTCCATCCCCAACACACACACACCCTCCCTCCCCAACAATCACACCCTTCCTCCCCAACACACTCCCATACATATTGGTTCACAACTTGTGGTCTGACTAAAGTTCAGTAACATTCATCACAACATTATTATAAAAGATGCTGTTCCACATTTTACATTAACTTAAATAATTAAGTACAGTACATCTCTAATTCATGGACACTAACACACACATTGGTAAACCATTCTGATAAACCTAAAGTTCCAAACATTTAAAGTGTATTAATTTCTCTAAGGTTAATGAGCCAAAATATAAACATATCAATAACACATTGGTATACATCTCAGTACTGTATGAATAAGATTAATTTAACAATCATGTATACAGCACAAGGTGTTAGTGAGTCTATGTTAGAGAACCCAGACACCAACACACACCTGGTTAACAATAATAAAGTGTTTAAGGACAATTCAAGTTATTAACAGCACAAATAGGGGAGTTAATGGTCGCACTGGAGTATAATGGCGTCGTAGAGCCTATCATTATATTTCAAATGGTAAAATTCACTCTGGGAGGAAGGTATAATTTAATTAACCGCACTAAATTCTTCCAACGCTTCAGTACGTATAATTCTCAGCTGGTATTCTAAATGAGAGGACTTAAATATTGAGGAATTACTCAACCATTAATATATACTGTCTGTAAATTTTCCACAATTGTATCTTTATGATTTAGTGTTAGAAGATAAGACACGACGACAGAAGGACTTTGACAACCCTACCGAGACAACAGGAATCACAGTGTTTATTTAATAATTCAACAGACCCCTCTGTAAGGATACCTCTTGGGGTGTGTATACATAACCATACCGTAGGATTTTTCCCGCACAGTATATAAACATGACGCACGCCGTATCTCTCCGACAACAAAAGCCAAGTCTGGGATTACCACTCTCATGCCTCTGGGCCAACTGAACCTCAGGTGAAATAAAGGGAAAACAAAACAAAAGATAACACACAATAATATCCTGCGAAGACAATGAATGTAGAGTGTGTGTGAGCAGTAGAGGGAAGACATTAATGAGGGGAACAATGAGTTATATGAGGGACACTAAGCACATATCCACTCTGGCTTTTTTAAGTATTTTTACCTTAATTTGTCTTTCATTTAAGGATTTAGATTTTTCCTTCGTCTTCCCCCTCGACTGTAAACAACACGGATCATGTTATAATACAGTACTGTAATATGTTTGGCTCGTTAACATATGCTACCATAAATCTGATCTTAAACCCTAAAATAAATCACACATTACCATAAATATGGCCTTAAACTTCAAATAAATCATACACTACCATATTTTCGACCTTAAAACCTAAAATAAATCATACAAGGGAGCGTTGCTTTATCTTAAAACACAAACAAACTTGAAACATAATATTGCCACAGAAATAAACACTTACGGTAAATTCTTTATTTTAATTTTAACTTAATGAAATATAATGACTGTAGTGTTTTCTTACATGACTATAATGACTGTAGTGTTTTCTTACATGACTATAATGACTGTAGTGTTTTCTTACATAACTATAATGACTGTAGTGTTTTCTTACATGACTATAATGACTGTAGTGTTTTCTTACTTGACTATAATGACTGTAGTGTTTTCTTACATGACTATAATGACTGTAGTGTTTTCTTACTTGACTATAATGACTGTAGTGTTTTCTTACATGACTATAATGACTGTAGTGTTTTCTTACATGACTATAATGACTGTAGTGTTTTCTTACTTGACTATAATGACTGTAGTGTTTTCTTACATGACTATAATGACTGTAGTGTTTTCTTACATGACTATAATGACTGTAGTGTTTTCTTACATGACTATAATGACTGTAGGGTTTTCTTACATGACTATAATGACTGTAGGGTGTTTTCTTACATGACTATAATGACTGTAGTGTTTTCTTACTTGACTATAATGACTGTAGTGTTTTCTTACATGACTATAATGACTGTAGTGTTTTCTTACTTGACTATAATGACTGTAGTGTTTTCTTACTTGACTATAATGACTGTAGTGTTTTCTTACATGACTATAATGACTGTAGTGTTTTCTTACATGACTATAATGACTGTAGTGTTTTCTTACTTGACTATAATGACTGTAGTGTTTTCTTACTTGACTATAATGACTGTAGTGTTTTCTTACATGACTATAATGACTGTAGTGTTTAAAATTAAGTCCTAAACAATGTCTTTAATATTAATAAAAGTTTTCCTAACTTTGGTACCATATATATATGTGAGAGAGAGAGAGAGAAACATCATCTTACCGCATCAGAGTCTAGAGAAGTACTGCCACACATCTTATTCTTGTAGTAAATCCTCCACTTCTTGTACTCAGCCGTCACCGCCTCCAGTTGTCTCTTCCAGTACTTCCCCTCCAGCACAATGGCCTGCAAGATGGTCACTCATTAACACTAGATGGTCACTCATAACATAAAAGTTGATAATGTTACTCACAAATTATCCATCCATCCATCCATCTATCTATCTTCTCAGTGAACATAAGTGGTGTAAATCCCGTAGACTTGTGCATGAGTGTTACCTAATCTCCACACACACACACACACACACACACACACACACACACAACGGTAAAGAAGTATTGCACATGAAGTCAAATATATATTTTTTAATATGCCCCACGTGGAGGCTAGTTTATTGTGCACTCCCTTACATCCTGTGCAAGGAGTAGCGTGCATAGCGGTGCTGAGAAGTCTTAACCCCTTGAGTATCATGACACAGGCAGTTCTGGACCGCTCCATGTAAACACACAATGAGAGAGAGAGAGAGATGGTGGTATGGTCCATTCTCTCTTTTTACTCCCCTCTCAATCATTCTTTTTCTCTCTTTCTCTCTCCCCACTTTCTTTCTTTGTGCGTGTGTACAGGTGAGGGAAGGTGAGAAGGTGGAGGTGGTGAGGTTGGTAAGGGCACACACCTCCGAGACGCCACTTCCTCCACCAATAGGAGACCCGCCACGCCACTTCCTCCACCAATAAGAGACCCGCCACGCCACTTCCTCCACCAATAAGAGACCCGCCACGCCACTTCCTCCACCAATAGGAGACCCGCTACGCCACTTCCTATCTATCTATCAATCTATCTATATATCTTATCTGGTGGTAGTAGTAGTGATGGTGGTAGTAGTAGTGATGGTGGTAGTGGCCTTGAGATTAAAGTGGTTTGACGCCCTGAGACACCACTCTTGCTACTACCCACTCTTCTCACCCTCCCCCTTCCTCTTACCCCCCTCTTAACAAACCCTCCCTCCTACCACACCAGAGAGAGAGAGAGAGAGAGAGAGAGAGAGAGAGAGAGGTGATCTCTCTGTGACCACGTGGCACCCCGTACGAATACTCTAAACACAGGTGGCACTCAACAAAGATGCCACCCACTAAACGTACCAATTAAAGTGACACCCTCTAAACCAAGGTGGAACTATACCAAGATATATCATCTACAAAGGTGGTACTGTATGCTAACAAAGGCACCTCTATCAGCGTCACCAAGATCAGAGTGGGAGACGAGGCACTCACCAGGATATAATAGAGGGAGGTGTGGCACTGAGGGTGAGGGGGAGAGTAGGAGTTGAGGGAGAGGAGAAGGAGAGGAGGTGGGGGGAGGAAGGGAGGTAGAGGTGAAGGCACGAGGGAGGATTAAGTGAATGAATGAAGGAGGGAGGAGAGGTGAAGGAATGAAGGAGGGAGGGGTGAGGGGAGGGTTCCTGACCTTGGACCAGTATAAGAGAGGATCTTTTTATGTACCTGTACCTTCACTTGGCCTCACGCCCTGGTCTCTCCCACTCAAATTCTTATCGTGTTTACAAATGCGTCTAAAACGTTGGTGCATTCTCTTCACCCCTCCCCCATTATCTCTCCGTTATCTCCCCTTCCTCCTCTCTCCCCTCCCCAACACAGACAGACATACACTCAATGAACCTTGCACTAATCCCAAACTCCACACACGCGCTGATTGGCGGACCTGACACATGAGAGAGAGAGAGAGAGAGAGAGAGAGAGAGAGAGAGAGAGAGAGAGAGAGAGAGAGAGAGAGTCATTAAGGTAATAACAGTGTGACCTTGAGGACGCTTACCGCTGCCTCGTGTCTGTCTGAAGCGTATACGCTTTATTGGTGGCGGTGGTAGTGGAAGAAAAGGAAAAAGAACAATAATAACAACAACAATAAATATGAGAGAGAGAGAGAGAGAGAGAGAGAGGAGTGGTAGGCTAAAGGCGATGACGTCATCAATGTTTACACGGCCAGATATAACAAGGTCGTCTCACCGCTATCCTGTACCGTCTCCTCCACTTCCTCCATCTTCTCCCCCCCCTCCTCCTCTTCCTCCACCTCCTTCATGTTGCGCCCTACACCTCCTCCTTCACAGTACACCAAACATCATTGACTGCTCCCCCCCCCCAGCCCAACACGCCTCAACAGGTGCGTCAACTTTCCACCCACAGCAGTAGGACGCCAATTGGCACTCACTCACAGCAGGTAGCCTAAGTGTGGCACATTGACCTCACCCACAGCAGGTAGCCTGAGTGTGGCACCATTGGCACTCACACACACAGCAGGTAGCCTGGGTGTGGCACCATTGGCACTCACACACAGCAGGTAGCCTGAGTGTGGCACCAGTGACACTCACACAGCAGGTAGCCTGAGTGTGGCACCATTGGCAGCAGGTAGCCTGAGTGTGGCACCACACACTCACCACAGCAGGTAGCCTGGAGTGTGGCACCATTGACACTAGCACCATTGACACTCACCCACAGCAGGTAGCCTGGAGTGGACACTCACCCACAGCAGGTAGCCTGAGTGTGGCACCATTGGCACTCACCCACAGCAGGTAGCCTGGAGTGTGGCACCATTGGCACTCACCCACAGCAGGGTAGCCTGAGTGTGGCACCATGGCACTCACACACAGCAGGTAGCCTGAGTGTGGCACCATTGACACTCACCCACAGCAGGTAGCCTGAGGTGGCACCATTGGCACTCACACACAGCAGGTAGCCTGGAGTGTGGCACCATTGGCAGCCCTGGCACCATTGGCACAGCAGGTAGCCTGGGTGTGGCACATTAGCAGGTTGAGTGGGCACCACCATGGCACTCACACACAGCAGGTAGCCTGAGTGTGGCACCATTGGCACTCACACACAGCAGGTAGCCTGTGGCACCATTGGCACTCACACACAGCAGGTGCCTGAGTGTGGCACCGGCACCCACACACAGCACACCATTGGCACTCACAGGTAGCCTGTGTGGCACCATTGGCACTCACACACAGCAGGAGCCTGGGGTGTGGCACCATTGGCACTCACACACAGCAGGTAGCCTGAGTGTGGCACCATTGGCAACACATAGCCTGAGCTCACACACAGCAGGTAGCCTGAGTGTGGCACCATTGGCACTCACACACAGCAGGTAGCCTGAGTGTGTGCACCGCACACACACAAGGCACTCACACACAGCAGGTAGCCTGAGTGTGGCACCATTAGCACTCACACACACAGCCTGAGTGTGGCACTTGGCACATGCAAGCCTGAGTGTGGCACCATTGGCACTCACACACAACAGGTAGCCTGAGAGTGTGCACCATTGGCACTCACACACAGTGAGTGTGGCACCATTGCACTCACACACAGGTAGGAGGTGGCACCATTACACCACACACACAGCAGGTAGCCTGAGTGTGGCACCATTGCACTCACACACACAACAGGTAGCCTGGGTGGCACCATTGCACCTCACACACAACAGGTAGCCTGGAGTGTGGCACCATTACACTCACACACAACAGGTAGCCTGAGTGCGGCACCATTGGCACACACACAGCAGGTAGCCTGAGTGTGGCACCATTGCACTCACACAACAGGTAGCCTGGTGTGGCACCATTGGCACTCACACACAACAGGTAGCCTGAGTGTGGCACCATTGGCACTCACACACAACAGGTAGCCTGAGTGTGGCACCATTGGCACCACACACACAACAGGTAGCCTGAGTGTGGCACCATTGGCACCTCACACACAACAGGTAGCCTGAGTGTGGCACCATTGGCACTCACACACAACAGGCCTGAGGTGGCACCATTGGCACTCACACAGCAGGTAGCCTGAGTGTGGCACCATTGGCACTCACACACAGCAGGTAGCCTGAGTGTGGCACCATTGGCACTCACACACAACAGGTAGCCTGAGTGTGGCACCATTGGCACTCACACACAACAGGTAGCCTGAGTGTGGCACCATTGGCACTCACACACAACAGGTAGCCTGAGTGTGGCACCATTGGCACTCACACACAACAGGTAGCCTGAGTGTGCCATTGGCACTCCACACACAACAGGTAGCCTGAGGTGGCACCATTGGCCACACACAACAGGTAGCCTGAGTGTGGCACCATTGCTCACACACAACAGGTAGCCTGGGTGTGGCACCATTGGCACTCACACACAACAGGTAGCCTGGTGTGGCACCATTGGCACTCACACACAACAGGTAGATATATAGATAGATACACCTTCCATGCTTTGTCACCCTGGTCGATCGCGCGCACAACACACACACACACACACACACACACAATCTCCCTCAATCAGAACAACGCCCCCTGGTATCAGGCGTACCCATTGGAGAGAGAGGTCAAATCAGTACTCACGGGGGTCATGATATGTTACTGGACTAAACATATTTTAACCCAAGACTAACATTCATTCAACATTTTAACCCAGGATTAACATTCACTCAGCATATTTAAACCCAAACTAACATTCACACCACCAATTGGAAGAATGAGAAAGGTTGAATGTCTTACCTCGGGCCTGTTGTGAATGTCCACGTCGAGCGCAAACTGGCAGACCGTCATTCTCTTCTTCCTGATAACTGAAATATTAACATAATATTAACATTCATTTTAGTTAACACTATTTCTTTCCTTCCTCTCATTCACCTTGGTATTTCTTCACTAGTCATCGTACTCAAGGTGTTAAGTCATCGTACTCAAGGTGTTAAGTCATCGTACTCAAGGGGTTAAGTCATCGTACTCAAGGGGTTAAGTCATTGTACTCAAGGGGTTAAGTCATTGTACTCAAGGGGTTAAGTCATCGTACTCAAGGGGTTAAGTCATCGTACTCAAGGGGTTAAGTCATCGTACTCAAGGGGTTAAGTCATCGTACTCCAAGGTTTAAGTCATCGTACTCAGGGTTAAGTCATCGTACTCAAGAGGTTAAGTCATCGTACTCAAGGTTAAGTCATCGTACTCAAGGGGTTAAGTCATCGTACTCAGGGTTAAGTCATCGTACTCAAGGTGTTAAGTCATCGTACTCAAGGGTTAAGTCACATCGTACTCAGGGGTTAAGTCATCGTACTCAAGGTGTTGATCATCGTACTCAAGGTTAAGTCATCGTACTCAAGGGGTTAAGTCATCGTACTCAAGGTGTTGTCATCGATCTCAAGGGTTAAGTCATCGTACTCAGGGGTTAAGTCATCGTACTCAAGGTGTTAAGTCATCGTACTCAAGGTGTTAAGTCATCGTACTCAAGGGGTTAAGTCATCGTACTCAAGGGGTTAAGTCATTGTACTCAAGGGGTTAAGTCATTGTACTCAAGGGGTTAAGTCATCGTACTCAAGGGGTTAAGTCATCGTACTCAAGGGGTTAAGTCATCGTACTCAAGGGGTTAAGTCATCGTACTCAGTGGCATCAAAACGGAGGGAGGGAGGGAGGTTCAGATGCTAGGTACTGTGTGTGTGTGTGTGTGTTGACTACGACTAGCTGATAACACTATCTCTACCCCACACACACACCGTACCCAGTCAGCCAGACAAGGAATCAAAAGTCATTAGACCAGTTTATATATACCATGACTGTGTGTGTGTGCGTGTGTGTGTGTGTGTGTGCGTGTGTGTGTGCGTGTGTGCGTGTGTGCTTGGATTCGTTCATACCCTAGAGAGTGCGTGTCTCTCTCTCCATGGGAAAGTGCACCCGACCGTTGTGTGTGTGTGTGCATCTGTCAATAACGTAAATGGTAACTCATAATTCAATAGGTAACTGACAAGAGGTAAGTAACAAGAGGTAAGTAACAGGGTGGGTAAGTAACAATAGGTAACTCACACTGCATATGCCAACACCTCCAGATGACGTTGTTGAGGCGAATCTTGTCCTTCCATCTCAGGTTGAGGCCTTTAAACCTGTTCCACTTGGGTGACGTGATCTTGTGTCTGTGGGGGAGAACACAGTCTTATTAGTCCACTGTTACTACTGGTGATACTTGTGGTACTACTGCTGGTGATACTTGTGGTACTACCGCTGGTGATACTTGTGGTACTACCGCTGGTGATACTTGTGGTACTACCGCTGGTGATACTTGTGGTACTACCGCTGGTGATACTTGTGGTACTACTGCTGGTGATACTTGTGGTACTACTGCTGGTGATATTTGTGGTACTACTGCTGGTGATACTTGTGGTACTACTACTGGTGATACTTGTGGTACTATAGCTACTACTACAAGTACTACCTTTTTATACAGTAGCCTCAAACGTCCCCTCATAGCTGCTACTAGCCTAATACAGTAATACTACTACTATTACTACTCCTATGACTATTACAAGCACTATCCCAACATTATTTCAACCACTACCATACACCAGACTTGGTTATCAAGGTGTTGGTAGTGAAGATGATACATTAAATGCCTCTGTAATGTCCAAGATAACCTCACCATAAGTTATCACCACTCACTGTCTCGTCGCTGTTGTTATTATTTCACCTGGTGGTTAATGACCCGAGCGTTAACCTACCCAAATTAAACCTAATCTAACGCTAACCTAACCTACCCTAACCTTAACTAACTTAACCTAACCTCACCTACCCTACCTTAACCTAACGTAACAGGTAAGCTTAATAACAGTGACAGGTGAGCCATGGTGAACAATACAATAACATCGCTAATAATTCACCTGTCCACCTGGGTCGATTCATCTATTAATTTCACATCAAATATTAAGACAGGTAACTGGGGGGATTAGTGTGTGTGTACGCAGTGGTGGAAATATTGAGGTCGGGAGAGAGCCTGAAGGTAAAGGCCATATAACAGTACAACACACACAACTATTACTACTGTAGCATCATTTATCCATAAATAATCCAACACGTGTTATTTCATCATACTTCCTTCGTCATGTCTGCAATTAAATTATTTTTTTTAATTTTGGTTTATGGTGCAGCGTTGTGTTACGGTCACTGCTGCCACCACGGGCCCCGCCAGCACCGCGGGCCTCACCACCACGGGCCCCACCACCACGGGCACCACCACCACGGGCCCCGCCAGCACCACGGGCCCCAGCACCACGGGCCCCACCACCACGGACACGGCCAACAACCACGTACAGAAGACACAGTTTTGGTGGTACAAGAGATTCACCGTTGGCCGTCTCCTGATGTACCTCTCGTTATAAGCTCTGAGTACGACCACAACAGCAAGACGGACATCGCGCGAGGTGTAAACATGTTGCACGAGAGTACGTGTGTGAGGTTCGTGCCTCCACGAGACTGGAGACAAGCTCACGTGCTGGTGAGGAATGGTAAAGGTTGTAACGCCGTACCTGGGTACAACAACAGGCCAGGGTTCGTGTCCGTGGTCAACCTACACGTGCCACAGTGCACCACCGCGGTGGGGCACGTGGTGCACGAGTTGATGCACGTGTTGGGGTTCTACCACGAACATCAGCGTCTGGACCGTGATGAACACATAAGTGTCCAGTACGCTAACATAGCGGAGGGTCACGAACTCAACTTCCGTAAAGTGTTTAACGAGACCCTGGGGCTGCCCTACGACATTGGCTCCGTCATGCACTATGGCCCCTACGGGTTCTGTAAAGACTGCACCAGGAGGACCATAGTGGCCATGCCTGGGGAGTCCTCCTCCTCACACATGGGCCAGAGGCTTAACCTCAGTGTTATTGACGTGGCCAAGGTCAATCGTCTGTACCAGTGTACCGAACATTACCTGGGAGACGACCTGCCCAGCGCCCAGCGCTACCAAGACTGGGTCACTACTAGAACATAAGAACGGAGCGGGCCTATTGGCCCATACTGGCCAGTCCCATTTACACCCAACCCCTATTGCTCATATATCCATCCAACCTATGTTTGAAGCTATCCACACCACCCACCCTGAAACCCACGCTACCTCATTAATTTTGTTTGGGCACAACAACCTTAACTTTACCCTTAACGTAACCTAACTTAACCTTAACTTATTATTATTAGACCTTGTCCACGCTTGTTTGTACGAGTAAAGCAGCTTACTGTACAGAACTGTACTGTACTGTATTGTACTGTACTGTACTGTATTGTACTGTACTGTATTGCACTGTACTGTATTGCACTGTACTGTATTGCACTGTACTGTACTGTATTGCACTGTACTGTACTGTATTGCACTGTACTGTACTGTATTGCACTGTACTGCACTGTATTGCACTGTACTGTACTATACGTCGCACACTACACCATTACCTTCATTATCAGCATTATTTAATATTATTTCTATTATTATTATTATGTAACATTAATACATTTTGGAGAGAGCAAGTAGATCACGCCCTGGACTAAAGTGTACACAGCACCACTAGTAAGAGTTGCATCACATCCTGCATGGAGGGGGCCAGTAATCTCGAGCATTTGATCGTGTCTGGCAGTACCACCCCACGCATTGTTGACAACCACACACACAAAGCATCACCCATACACATTTAACCGTCCCCCCCACACACACGTGCATACATACAGTATGTGTGTGTGTGTGTGTGTGTGAATCCAGGTTAAGATCACGTGTGCTTAGAATCTCTCTCTCTCTCTCTCTCTCTCTCTCTCTCTCTAATTCTTACTCTGGACGATTAACTGACAACCTCTATCTGTAGAATATCCGAAAGCACACACACACACACACACATACAAACACACACACGGTATCAGGACAGTTGCCCCCTATTGCCAGTGAATAACTGACACAAAACATGGAACTAACTGAATAGAAAGGAGAAAATAACAATAAGAATTAATGCTTTATTTTTAAGTAGTAATAATGTAGTAATAATTATGCACAACTCACACCCTTGTTTTTAACACTACAACTTCATAAGGATTAAGGATACGAGCCGCCAGGGTATTAGAGGAAGTTGGTACAAATTTATATAGTACCTGGTGTTCGCTATAACCCCTGGAACAACTTATCTGTCCATGTGAAAACAAATAATGTTATCAATTCAAAACTAAAACTAAAAAAAAACATAAATATATAAATAACAGATGAAGCTACAAGAGAGTTTGTGTTGGTAAAGGACTCGTCAGTTTGGGATGGTCCAAGGAGGGGCAGTTATCCCACACACACCATTAACTAGAAGTGCCGCTCCCACACGTGATGACCATGTGGCCCTCAAGGGTGACACTGTACCCATGTATGGTAATGACTGTACCTATGTGCGGATATATATATATATATATATATATATATATATATATATATATATATATATATATATATATATATATATATATATATATATATACATACTGTATGTATGTATGTTTTTATGCAAGAGGTGTATCATCCTTGTGTGTAAAGTAAAGGACATATGTGGCACTGTTTACATGACCCTCTTAAATAAACTTCGGGGGGGGGAGAGGCGCTGCAGGGACATATGTGGCACCTGATGTTTACTGCCGCCCTAAAGTAAACATTATCACCCTCATGTATAAGATGTATAAGTGACGCACATTCACTATATTTTGGTTACTCTGAGTCACTGTGTATAATGTTATCTGTACAGTGGGTCCCCTTAATAGTTCTTATCGTCATTATCTTATATATAATGACGTGTTTCGATTCGTTCACAGCGGCTGCCTTGATATATAAATAACCGAGCTTGACCTGACCTAACCTAGCTTGACCTGACCTGTACCTGTACTTTCAATTACACTTGTTCCTGTACCATCACCTGTATTTCGACTTCAACTAAAACCAAACAGTAACACAAAAAATTAACAATATTTACAAAAACTTCCCAAATATTTACAAAATTAAGCTGGGGTTTCTAATCTCCCGGTAAAATAAGTTGTGGTTTCTAATCTCCCGGTAAAATAAGTTGTGGTTTCTCATCTACCGGTGAAATAAGCTGGGGTGTCTAATATACCGGTAAAATAAGCTGGGGTGTCTAATCTACCGGTAAAATAAGCTGGGGTGTCTAATATACCGGTAAAATAAGCTGGGGTGTCTAATCTACCGGTAAAATAAGCTGGGGTGTCTAATATACCGGTAAAATAAGCTGGGGTGTCTAATCTACCGGTAAAATAAGGTGGGGTGTCTAATATACCGGTAAAATAAGGTGGGGTGTCTAATATACCGGTAAAATAAGCTGGGGTGTCTAATATACCGGTAAAATAAGCTGGGGTGTCTAATCTACTGGTGAGCCATCAAGTGTGTCTGATAAGGACTTTACCCGTTATAAAATCATCAGTTTAGTTTCGTTATCGTTTAAAGAGAGAGAGAGAGAGAGAGAGAGAGAGAGATAATGTCTTGCTCGATGCATTAATTATTATTATTATTATCATAATTATAACAGCAAAATACCGTAGTAATAATAATAATGTAATAATAAGAAAAACATTGATAATACCAACACTAATAATGAAAACAACAATAATAATATATAGTTATTATAATAATTGAATCTCATGAACATTAGGCACCCCAGCTTATAACTAACCTAACCTAACTCCCCGTGTCACAATACAGTAGATGGCAGCACCTGTACCCCACTGAAGCCTATATAAACCGTGACACCGAGACGACCACCTTGCCAACTACTGAAGTAACATGACACACACAGTAACATCCTCATTACAGACCATAAGAGACTGAGATAATTAATAGTCAACACCTGTACCATACACACCTGTTTGGTTGTGGCTGGCAAAACAAACACTCCAAATTTTGTTTGTTTGTTTGATAAGTAAATCTGATTAAATCAATACAAGTCATTCAATTGGATCATCTGAAGTTTAGGCACCCCCAGTTTCTTTCACCTGATGATTAAACTCTACCTGGAGGGTTAGGTTAGGGTGGTTTATCTTCAGGTGGAATAAGAAAGCGTGACTGGTCTTGTCATCACCACAAACAACGAACATTATGGGTCAAACAAACACACAAAAAGGG